ATACAAATATCTTCCAGGTACCCCACCAAACTGTCTTGAGACTGATGAATGTGAATCATCTCCGTGTCAAAATGGAGCCTTGTGTTATGACCAAGACAATTCATTTACCTGCATTTGTGCTCCAGGATTTACAGGTGAATTCTTATTGTGTGAATCAAGGCATTTGTCTTGTTTTGAGACATTTATTAGCCTTACAGTAATGATCACTTCATGACTAGAAAGGTAGAAGTGCAGATGACTCGAGATAATGAGATTAATTGTATTTATAAAAAAATAAATATTTGATATAGCTATGACTGTAGTGATAAGTCAACCTGGGGGTCTTTTATTGTGGCCACACCCACAGAGATTTCACAGATAAGATAATGCAGTACTTAGCTATCCTCTTCAATTGTCAGCTTACTAACAGGTTGGGCAGTCAGTCTGTTCTCTTTTAGTGTTGGCACGTACTGTACATGAACTGTACTGGGATAAGATAACTACATAACTGCCTATTTTTTTGCATTACTGTACAATTCATTGAAAAATATTTAAATTTATTCATCAAACAGGAAGCAACTGTGAAACCAACATTGATGACTGCTTATCGGATCCTTGCCAGAATGGAGGAACTTGTGAGGATGGAATAAACTCTTATTCATGTCAGTGTCTACCAGGTTTTGAGGGAGACTATTGTGAAGATAACCGTGATGAGTGTGCCCTTAATGTTTGTGTTCATTACCAAAATTGCCATGATCTGGTAAGCAAATTTTCAGTTGTTTATAGTAATTATTGTCAGGAAAAATGATATACAATTTGTAAAATATTGAAATACTGAACACTGAGGCATAATGAGGAAGGCTACTGGGAAAATAACCAGATTGAGAGTGTACTGAATGCTTGTGTTTATGCTTAGAATTGCCATAATCTGATGAACATATTTTCATTCAATAGTTAATGGCAAATACTGTCAAAATATATGATGTTTGTGTCATAAAAAGGAAACATTGATTCATAAGGCACTTGCAGGGTAAGAGAGAGTTCTTGTGTAATATATGCTTATCAAGTATATTAATTTAGGAAGGTATTAAAAGATAGTAACTTGCAGAAGATGAAAATGGCTGTTATAAGTCTTTACAAGGAAGACATTTATATTTTCTTTGGACAGCAGAAACAAGGGAGTCTTATGCAAATTTGCTGCTTAATTCATACCTAAAAAGACTCGCAACAACATAAACAATTTGGATAAAAGCATGACCAAAGATTTTATATTTATTTATTTTTTTTAACCTTTGATCTAAATCATAACCATCCATTTAGAACACTGTCAATAGCTTATCCTATTTCAAAGCAGATTTTTTATTGGTGAATACTATTTCTGTTGAACACCTTTATGTACTTATTATATATATATTTTTATTTAATTCCTGAATGCTTTTTATAATTTCAACCAATGCTTTTCATGCTGCCAAATCATTTTGTCTCAGGACTACAATACCGTAAGTTGTTGTGTTAATTTTACCATGACTGCTTTACCCCTAAGACCTTCATCAGTTGCTAGGAATTAACACACCTAGGTAACATGCTGTGCGTCGCATTCTGACTTGAACAAAAATAGTATTCTCATATATTTATGAAACTGCACTTTTGGAATGAACAAGGAACTATAGAAGACAGAAGAGGCAAGTTCTTATCACAACCACCCTCTCTAAAGGAGTTTCCTGGGGGGAAAACCGAGTGTGGTTTCATAGATAAGACAAGAAAAGAGTACAGCATTTTTTCCCAAATTTGCAGTAGGTTGTCATGTGTACAGTTTTCTCTCAAACTTCATCACCTGATAGTTTGACATACTTCATTAATGCCAGTGAATATATAGTTAGTCCACCATCTTAAGTTCCTTGTATCGCTCATAATATGACACTTTTAGAAATTAATATGCTTTGCTCATAAATTCCTTCTTGTCTTCATACATTTAATGAAAGTGGTGTTCTTAAATTATTTGTTTAAATACATATTCTAAACCATTAGGGAGTGTTGACCCTGCCTTGCCTGCTAAGAGGGCACTTGAAAGTTTCACATGTAATGTCCATTTCCCACTGTAAAAGCAGGTTGGCCATTGGAAGAGCATCCAGCTGTAAATTTTGCTTCAAATTTGCCTGATGGCAAATGTGGAAAATGGTTGTAAAATGGGGGTGATGGCGATGGTGAGTAATGACAAGTTTAAATGTTTCAGATTGGTGACTATGAATGTGAGTGTGAGGCTGGATGGTCTGGGAAGAACTGTGATGAAGAAATAGATGAATGTGCCTCATCCCCGTGCCTTAATGGTGCCTCTTGTAAGGACCGAGTCAATGGCTTTGACTGTACTTGTCCTCCAGGATTTACTGGTAAACTTACATTTGGCATTTTATGTAACCTAGGGTAAGCTAAGTACTTATTTCCTTAAAGAAAATAAACTTTACGTAAGTACTGATGTAGCTAAGTGGTTTGTGTTCTGCTGCAGTCTTTTTTCTTCTCAGTTTTAATAATATTACTATTGAGTGCTTTTATTATGTATATTTCACAATGTTCCCTCAAGAGTGCAATTGTTTCCTTTGGGTATTTGTTATAATGTGTTCACTGTGAATCTTCTTTAAAGGTTAAACCTTAATGAATAGATCCCCGTTTCCATAAAATCATCAGGAGAGACTAAAGGTAAGGCTTGCAATTAAAGGACATTCACTGACAGAATTTTTAGCAAGAATGCCAATGGCATTAACACTCTCATCCTTTTAGTGCTAGAAGTTGCTAATTAGAGAATCTTTTGTAAATCTTCCTGTTCTCTTATGTTTTGTCTCGGCTTTTTCGAAACACTAATTTCTAAGTCTGCCTCTCAGTTCCTTGGAATGTATTTGTGATATTTCTGAGGCTTAAAGATGACTGCTTTGAAGTCCAAAGCTAATAACACTCGATATTTTCAAACTTGTTTCTTCACATGGCAGGAGAGACGTGCCAGACAGACATAGATGAATGTGAATCAAATCCGTGCCTTAATGGAGGGACATGTTCTGATGGTGTAAACAATTATGTGTGTGAGTGTGGAGAGGATTACATGGGCATCATCTGTGAAGAGGAGTATGATGCTTGTGCTTCAAACCCATGTCAGAACTCTGCCTCCTGTATCCCCTCTCTAGGACCTCAAGACTTTTACTGTGAATGCATTCCAGGTGAGCTCGTTATATACAGTACAGTACAGTACACTAAAAGAAATAATGAGGAGCTCAGCAAGTTCCTTATTAAATACTATCTATCTGTCTATCTATCTATCTGTATATATATATATATATATATATATATATATATATATATATATATATATATATATATATATATATATATATATATATATATATATATATATATATATATATATGTGTGTGTGTGTGTGTGTGTGCAGAAAGAGTTTACTGTGGGTGTGTGTGTGATCAGGTATGCTGATAACCACAGCATATATAATCATGAGCAGCGTTTGAGGGGGTGGGGATGGAGGTTACTAAGAGCTATTGTGTCACGTCCGTCCTGTGGTATTGATACTATCTGTTAGAAGTGTGTTAAGAGTGAAGGTATGGATCATGTGTGTGGGTGTTTGTTGTAACTGTACTGTATTCATTGTATGATATATATATATATATATATATATATATATATATATATATATATATATATATATATATATATATATATATATATATATATATATATATATATATATATATATATATATATATATATATATATATATATATATATATATATATATATATATATATATATTTATATATATATATATATATATATATAATATGTTATGACAGTTTTAACAATATGAAATATTAAGTCTTAAACTAGAACATTAGTTGATTTCTAGCTGTATTATACATAGAGGAAACTTTTCTTATCAACATAAAATTAGCTCTTAAGTCTCCTGTATCAATGCTAATTTTCTATCTACTTCTATAAGTACATTGTAAGTAAACTTATATTAATAATGCATCTTATTTCTGAGTTGGTTGGAATATTTGATAGTGTAGAGATGATTGTCAGTCAAAGATAATGAAGTAAGCCGTGCTTGTCTCACTAACCCCTGAATGTAGGAATGACAGATTGATACTGATCGATAAGACAATTTTCTGTTATTCTCTGTAGAGTTTTGTAACAATTTATACAGATAAACCACAGTCCATCACTGTGTAATGTTTCAATTCTATTTTCAGGTTTTGAAGGATTGTACTGCAGTAACAATATCAATGATTGTTTTGATGTGACGTGTTCTGATGGTAAAGTTTGCTACGACATGGTGAACAGTTATGAGTGCCGCTGTCCAGAAGGCTTCACGGGGGAAAACTGCTCCATCAATATAGATGAGTGTGAGAGTAATCCTTGTCTCAATGGAGGAGAATGTCATGATGGAATGGCAAACTATAGCTGTGTCTGTCCTCCAGGTTACACAGGTAAAGGATGATAATTTATTGAATGATCACAGTACCTGGAATTTTTATTTCTTTATTTATTTATTTGTTATTTTTTTTTTTTTTTTTATTTGGAGTTTCTTCGAGTATTGTGGTAATTATCTGTTCCCTCAACAAGCAAAACAAAATCTGTGCTAATAACTTTTTATTCACATAATAACATTATCTTTCTGTATTCACACTGGTTTCATAAACAATACAGTATCATGCTATCACATATGTTTCTTGGACACAGTCTATCAGGTCTGCTGGACCTACTTTCACTTTCCATGAATACAGTAGAATGGATCTGTGCTTCTGGGAACCCAAGAATCCTTGTTTTACTCTTATTTCATGTTATTGTCATTTATATGGAGCTCCAGTAGTTTGTTTGCCTGTCAGTATTCAATTGACACTGTTATTGTCATTTGAAGTAGCTTGTAGTGTTTCTCATAATATATACTGTACAGCATTGTCATTTTAAAATAGACCCATTTTTTTTTTATGTGAATTGAACTTTTTCTATTAAATTCTGAGCACTAAATTTCTTTGTTGGAAACATTTGGTTTTGTATTAATGGAGGAAAGGTGTTGAACAAGTGGTGAAGCTTTCATAGTGAGTAGCTTCAAGTTAATCCTGCTTAATTCTCACTTTTATTTATTTATCTTATAAAAATGTTTATTTACATTTTTATTTATTTATTTTTTTTTTGCAGGACATAACTGTGAGGAGGATGTAAATGAGTGTGAGTTGTTACGTCCTTGTGTTAATGGTATCTGTGAGAACACCAATGGATCATACCAATGTTACTGTCGCCCTGGATTTTCTGGTGATCACTGCAACCTGGAATTTGACGAGTGCCTTTCTCGACCTTGTCGCAATAGTGGTACTTGCATCAACAGAATTAATGGTTATGAGTGTGTGTGTCAACCTGGCTTTACTGGCACTGACTGTGATATTGACATTGATGAGTGTGCAAGTGCCCCCTGTCAAAATAATGCTACCTGCTATGACGGTATTGCCACCTTCACTTGTGAGTGCCTGCCTGGCTTTACTGACAAGCTTTGCTCCACCAATATTGATGAGTGTGAGGTATGCATTTTATTTTTTGTTTCATAATTAGCATTTTGTTTGTCTTTTGGATTCTGGTACAATATTATAATCACACGTTGGATATTGCAGTAAGTTTATAGTACAATATCACTTTACACACTCAGAGTTTGCATCATTGATATATGCCCTCACTTAAGTTCTCACTAGCAAGCATGATGGAAAAAAATTTCCTTGTTTTATTTTTTTATTTTTTCATTCTTACTCTTGTCCGCAGTAATTCTTTTATTGTAAATAATTTGAATTCTTACGTTATCATTGTTTTTCACACGTTTTGAGGATGTTGTAATAAAGAGTATGCTCACCTGTTACATTCTAGTCCGACCCTTGTATGAATGAGGGTGTGTGCACTGATGGCATCAACCAGTACACATGTAACTGTAGTGACACCGGCTTCAAAGGACCACAGTGTGAGATAAATATTGATGACTGTGAGTCATCTCCCTGCCAGCACGGATCAACTTGTTCCGACCTTGTAAAGGATTACGAATGCCTCTGCTATAATGGTTATGCAGGTTTGTCTCCTTTCTCAATTTTTTTTGTAATGTTCTTTGAGAGAGTATGTTGATTTTTTGTTTTAAGTTACATGGGAGTTGCAACTAGCATTGATTTAGTAATAACATCCTTCAAACCTTGCCATTCTTTGTTTTTTGTCTTTTTCCCCTGTTATTTATTCCTGTACTTCCAAAGTACAATATATCTCTCTCACTCCCTTTTTTTCATAATGCAGACAAGATCCACAAGTTAAGCTAACACTGAGATTTCACATGTTTGAGGTGTTATTATAGATAGACTGATGGATAAACTAAACATTATCTTCTTATCTACAATTTAGTCTTCCTTGACTAGATTAATCAATGTACAACCAGTCTTATTTAACACTCACCAGAGGTGGCAGAGGAAATTATTTGTAGAAAATTGCTCAAAGTATAATGGCAGTGTGCAAATTTGAATTTTAAAAGAAACTGTTAATTTGAAACAATTTTAATTGGAATGTGATCCCTAATACACAACAGCTGTAATTAAACAAAATAACAGAATCAGAAATGACGTAAACAGAGGATTTACTGTGCTGGGATACAGGCTTTTATACACTGGTCTGTCTCTAGTATCTATTATTTAAAGTTTTTCTCTCATGGTTACCTATATTGTTTCTCATTGTTCCTTCCTGAAGGCTTGGCTGGCATCTTAGACATGGTTTAGTAGTACTGTACTGTAATTTCATATAGAGAATTAAAAACACAAAGGTAAAAATATTGCTGTCTCTTGAATATGTGATCACAACAACTGGAGATGAAGAAACTGGCGTAAGATATTCAAGTCACAGTGGGAAGAAACAAAACAGGTACAGCATGTCTCAAATCCCAGGAAATCAACACCACATATTTTCTGGCCACGGTCAAAGATAAAGCCACAAGAAAATGCTTGAGTACCTGTATGAATTCAGGCACATTCTGGGAATCATGAATTCAGTATAACAGACTATTTTTTTCACAGTAAGCAGAAACATGGCTACATCTCGGAGAAAAAATTACCTAGATGGCTTTCCCAGATCTGGTTTGTGGAGTTATCTGGTTAAAAGGTGTTTAGTTAATGAAGACTTTCTTGTATGAGGAAACTAATGTATCGCTTGTAATAATTGCTGATTACTTACATTAACACAAGCTACCAGCAAACAACTGCAGATTGAAGTCTAGTGGTTGTTCAGTATTTTTTTACACCATTATTTGTTACATGCTCTACATACAGGGGTGTTTTTAAAACTTTAACTACTGTACTGTAGTTCATAATATTCTATAGTCAGACTTGTACTTGAGTGCTGATTGATATTGTAGCAGTGTATGTTGAATTAAGTATCTATTATTAAAAGCTTTGACCACCTTATTGCAGTACAGATATTATCATTTGCATGTTTTTATTCTAGGGAAGGACTGTGAGGAGGACATTCAAGAATGTGCAAGTTATCCATGTCTTAACGGTGCTACTTGTCTGGAGCGCAGCAACTTGACCCTTTATGAATTAGACATATTCTCCAACTTTACCTATGAAACTGCTGGAGGTTTTGTATGCGAGTGTATTCCGGGTTTTACAGGTGTGTAAACGTTTTATTTTATTTGTCTGCTGCACACAAAGTATAATACAGTAGTAATTATTTTTTTGTTGCTTAACATAATTTAACTTGTGTCTTATAATTTGGAATAGATGAAAATAAGGATATTACAAATCTTCTAGTTGCATTTTAAAACTTTTGACACTTTGGACTGAATTCATATGTCTGCCCATTGTAGAGGTCACTGCTTTTGGTTATAAAATGGTGCCATGGTTGTCAGTATAAGTGAGAATATTGCTCATTGAATATTGTCCATCTAATAAACTACCTGTAGCAACATCTGGTAATAATCATCATATACCCTGTACAGCACAATGATGTAAAATTAATTTATTATAATTGCATACCCTTTGAGATACTTGAAGTGATGGCATTGTAGCTCTGAATTCATTGTGTTATAAAGCTGTTGTTATGGCAGTTGTTGATACTTGTGAATATTAAAGATATTGGTCTAACTGTGATGGAGTTAGATCTGGTAGAATTCGGCTTCAGAAATGAACATGACAGTACAGTCGACCCTTGTTAATTCGGACCCCTTTAATCCGGATTTCGGATAATTCGGACAAAATCTGAACGAACTTTTTTTTTTTTTTTTATAAAGATTTGTAGGAATATTACCTACGCGGACCTTAAGCTAAAATTCTGGTCCACCCACTGCTGGGATAAAACACCAGCATCTTTTTGGTCAAATGTAACATCTCCACCACTAGTGTGGGGGGGGATGCAACTTTTAGCTTCAGACATGAAAAATATTTACCATTTACTGCCAGTAAACAATGGAAATGTAAAATTTGTACCAATTAGTAATGAAAAGTTGTGCAGTTCCTTCAGCAAATGAAGCTCACCAACTTACAATAGACTAAATTACCTTACAACGTGTTTTCTGTAGTCTAAGTTGAAGTTCTTAGCACAGGCTAACTTATCATATCATATACGGTATCACAGTTCTCATTGATCTACAAAAAATACAGGTAATAAAAACCTTTTCGATATTTCACACTTAATATAATACCCGGTAATCTACTTCAACCTCCTATTGTTTACAACGACGCATGACACACCACCAGCTGTTGAGTATCAGCTAGACGGTACACGTGTTTTTCGAATCGTTTTCAGTTAAAAAACTGTTACATCACATGTATATTTTACCTTAACTGTGCCTGAATGAATATATTCTCAGAAATAAATAGTAGTTTTGCTGAAACGTGATGTATTTTAATGTAAAATAGGATAAAATACATGACGAAAACAAAAGATTTTACCTAACCTTCAGATGTTCAAGAGAAGTTACTCGTTTTTTTAATAGTTTTTGGTTAAAATACTGTTATATTACAATGGTATTCTATTCATACTGTGCTTGATATAATGCATTCACGGAAATGTAATATTTTTGCTGAAATGACGTATGTATTACAGTGGAAAGTGGGATAAAATCGTGACGAAAACAATGACTTTCGCTTTCTTTCGTTCAAAAGATGTTACCGTAATCGCTTTTCGATTGGTTTTCCGTTAAAAAACTGTTGTATTACAATAATATTCTATCCTAATTGACTTGAATAAATACTACGATACCATATTTCTGAATATTTTCATTAAAATCCATCCAAATCATTTTCCTTGTCATCGTCTGCAGCACCAAACAGCTTCTCCCTATCCTCTCCTTCAACAGGGCTAGAGGGTACGTGTTTTTCGAATCGTTTTCAGTTAAAAAACTGTTACATCACATGTATATTTTACCTAAACTGCGCCCGAATGAATATATTCTCGGAAATAAATAGTAGTTTTGCTGAAACGTGATGTTTTTTAATGTAAAATAGGATAAAATACATAACGAAAACAAAAGATTTTACCTAACCTTCCGATGTTCAAGAGAAGTTACTCGTTTTTTTAATAGTTTTTGGTTAAAATACTGTTATATTACAATGGTATTCTATTCATACTGTGCTTGATATAATGCATTCACGGAAATGTAATATTTTTGCTGAAATTACGTACGTATTACAGTGGAAAGTGGGATAAAATTGTGACGAAAAACAATGACTTTGAAATATAATGCAATATTAACCCCTAAATCGGTTAATTCGGACAATCGGCTAAAACGGACACCCTCCCCCCCTATTAGTCCGAATTAACGAGGGTTGACTGTAGTTCATATGAAGGACTGAAAAATATATAGAAATAAGATGTGGCAAATCATAATGGGGTGATCTAATATGAAAGAAGCTGAGGAAAGGGTGAAAAGAAAGGATCCTGTCAGGACAAAATACTGTATATACAGTAGGGTCGGGATATATCGCGACTTTATCTAACGATTTTTTTTATATTGCGGCTACCAAAATTATCGACATTTTCCTATATAGAGCGATAATTTTTTATTTCGCGAGGGAAATTGGGCACGAAATATTTCAAATGTACCGCCATGGCAAGCAAATGTGTTATTTGCTCACGATAGGCTTCACTGTGGCTGCTCACTCACGCATTCACGCTCGCCCGCTGAGTTTTTCTGAGTGAGTGACGAGAAAGCAGCAAACTGCTGCAGATTACGACCTCTAAAGCGAGTGTAAGGGTTGCTAGTGACATGAAAAGTGAAGCGAAGATAATGGAAAGCTTAATGGAAAAGATTTAATACTGTAACTAATATTTTGGGTGTTCGTATATGTAGGTGTGGGATTGTTAAGGGAGGGTGGCAGTGTGGTGTCTACTGTCGAGTCTGGTGTTCCCAGGATGGTGCATCAGCTGCCAAGTTGGGTGTTCCTTGATACTGTATTGAAATAGCCTGTTGTTCCTGTATAATATGGACACGAAGTAGTACCTTAAGCTGTGTATTCTTATATTACTCTATTAATTATGTATAGTAAAGTATTACAGAACATGTATTAATCCTATGTAATATTTCCATTTATTATGCACCATGTTATGTATGTGAATTATCATATTTACATATTATGTATTCAGCTTGTGAATGCTGGCATCTGTACATGCCAGCGCAGAGTGATACAGAGAGTTGAGATCGCTAGTCCTTATGGTGTGGATGCCCACTGTCTATTTGTTTCCTCTGTATATCTCCCGTACGAGAATAAGAACCTATTTTCAAGATAACAAGTGTTTGCGTATACCCTCCGTAGTGTAGAACATTTTGGGGGTATCAAAGACAAACATAGAGTTCCCGAGTCTAGTGTTCATTGGTGCTTTAGTTAGAAAGAAAATTAACTTGTTTAGTCACTTTTTGGGCCTCCAGAACCTAACCATATTTTCCCCATTGATTACATGTAATTATATATCGCGATTTAGTATATAGAGAACATCGTTGGACCCTATCTCGCTATATATCCCGACCCTACTGTACTGTACTTCTGCCTTTTAACCCAGTACAGTACCTTTTCTACAGTTGTTAAGTCATAGGTGGTTTCAAGAACTTGGCATTGGGCGTTTGATGTGCCCTCTTTCACTTTTGCGGTCTCTGCAAAACTGATTTATGATTAATTATCTTTCTGCACCAAACGTTTCACCTCTGGATCGGGTTTGGATGTTCGGTTTCCTTCTCTTCCATTGCTCACTGCTGTTCCAGGTTCATGAGGTCCTCATTGCTAAGCTCCTCAATGTGACTGTTGAGAAGTTCAGTCATGTTTTCCTGGTCTACTACATTGAACCCAGCCTGGCGCAACAGCGTTACAATGTTGCACTGAATCTCCTCCACCCTCTCAAACCCAGTGAAACAATGCACACACACAGACTACACTATACAGCAGAGATCTTTTAATATCCCACTGTTGTCATCATTGTATAGCGGCATAAACTGGTATTCAAAACTTTTATGCCACCAGTGTAGTGACAGACTGATATTGTCCACCTGCTATGCTACTATTGTATAACTATGAAAATCACACCAGCAGTTATCAGTATAGTGACATACTGTATGTTATCAGATAATT